GTGGAACAACGTCAGGTACGCCTGCAAAGACAGAAGAGAAAGGAAAGAGATGCGACCGCTTCTGGGACCCCAGCAGTAACAAGGATTGTTACAGACGTATTGGCACAGCTAGGGTATGCGACAGAGTCGGTGGTGCAAAGGAGGGTGGTGACGGCTGTTAAAGTAAAAGGAAAAGAGTCAGTGATAGAGGAGGCTGGTCAGGAGGAGCTCTGGGAAGAGGAAGAGCCCGTGCCGCAGCACCTGGCGAAGGTCCAGCGCAAGGTGCGTAATTTGGCGCAGGGCGGACAGGGATCAGGAAAAGCGCAGACGCATCAGGCCCAGGCAGCAGCCCCTTTAAATATGGAGGCTCCATCATCCACTACGGGCCCCTTGCAAGGTGGGGCGCCCTCCTATGGACAGTGGCCCTGGCCGGTGATCAACGCAATTGTGTCATGAGGAAGCACGCCGCCAGTAGCCGGACCGCAGACGAGTATGCCACCACCCATCTACCCCGCGGCCCAGGCCCAACCTGTGGCCCCGCCACCGTCACCTGATCCTAGTTCACAGGGCAGTGTTGTAGGAGGTGGGAACCAGGGGCAGGGCAATCAAGGCAGTGAAGGGAGGGGTGGAGGAAAGGGGCGAGGCAGGAATGGCGGCGGAAGAGGAAGGCAATGGAATGGCCAAGGCCAGGGGTACCAAGGCCAAGGGAGTCAAGGCCAGGGGTACCAAGGCCAGGGCTATCAAGGTCGGGGGGATCAGGGAAGTCAGGGGTATGGAAGACCCCGCTTTGACTGAAGGACGGCTATCTGTCAACATTGTGACCAGCAGGGCCACATTATAAGGTTCTGTAATATAAGACGGGAAGACGAGAGAAGCGGACTGATTTCCTCTACTATGGATGGGAATATCTACGATCAGTTTGGGGAGGCTATTGACAAAAGGCTTGGAAGAGTGAGGGCTGAAGCCCAACGAAGAGCGGCAGCTGGGCCACCACCCCCTGCCATGTTCAGGCTATCGCAGGAAAAGGAGGAACCACCGTTTGGAGTGGAAGAAGTGGGAAGCGATGAGGAAGTGACTCAAGGGCTACGAGGAGGAAGTGAGACGGAAGAGGYCATAATCATCGAGTCAGATGACGAGGATGAGGAGGAAAGAACGGAGCGTCCGTCCGTCTTATTTAAGAAGATGGAAGACTTGTTGGATAAGATGGGGAGGTACCAACAGAAGTTGGTAGGTCTCTGTAAAGAAGTGAAAGAATGGAGGTCTAACATCCCCACARTATTCCTCTATGACTCCGGCCCGGAGTCAGCGCCTGGGCGACCTGGAGTAAATATGGTGGGGTCGTGCCCACAATCAGGAATGAGGGGGAGACCTATCACTCCGCAAGCCCGGTTGGCGCAGGCAGCGCGAACGAGGAATCAAGCCAAGGCCAGTACCAGTCAAGAGCCTCCAAGGGGGGAACACGAACCAGGGAGAAGGAAAGAGGYTGTGGAAGTAGAGGACGACGATGATGAAGAGGAAGAGGACGAGAGGCTGCGCAGAGAAGAGGATCAGAGAGCGGAGCAGCTGGCAAGGAAAAAGAGAACCAGGGGAGAGGCCGAACCGGTCATACATGACGGACCGCCCAAAAAAAAGAAATACGCGGTCCAGTTGGAAGAGGGCTTTGATGTAGAGAAGGTGATTGACCGGCTGCTGGAAGGGCATAATGACCTCATGATCCTGAAGGAAATCCTAGCGTCAGCCCCGCGACTCCGCGATGAACTGAAGGGGAGGTTATCACGGCGCCTGGTGCCCAATGTCCATCTGGGTACGATCCTGCCCAAGGAGGCAGAGTGGGCAGAGTCAGCTACGAAGATGGACTGGAAGTGCGTAGCCTGCGGTACGGTGGATTTGATGGTGAAGGGTTCCAAGTGCGCAGCAATGGTGGACACCGGGGCAGAGATGAACATTATTCGGGAGGTTGACGTAATCGGATTCGGGCTGGATATAGACCGTTTTGACTGCGGTATTCTGCATGGAGCCAGCTGTAAGGCCATGTTTTGCGGGACAGCCTCGAATGTGCTCGTCGAGGTTGGAAAGGTGAAGGCCAGGGCACGTTTCTTCATAATGCTAGACGTGGACCATGGAATCCTCCTGAGGAGGTCATTCCTAAGCAGGACAGAGACCGTGATGTTCAACAAACATGATGGGACGTTGATCCTCCTCTTATGCGATCCTGTCTGCGAAAATTATGAAATAATTACTTGCAGGAATACCGGGCCAATGAGTATAAGGAACCGGCCCAATCCAGGATCATTCACAATCGAGGAGTCGGAAGGGGAGCGCAGGAGGCTCTGGGCAGAGCCCGAAGCAGGAGAGAGGGTGGAAGTATTTTCCCTCAGCTTGTCAGATGTTGGGAAGACCATGAACCTGGTGGCCGCGCATGAGATGGCAGATCCGGATGCCATCCAGGCCTTGAGGGAACAAGTTCTGGAATGCTCAAAGGCAGGAAGGTTGGAACTGGTATATCGGCTCCCAGGTAGTAGAGGGAACCCCGCATCAGCGCAAACACAATCCGTAAGTCGGTCTTTTTTAGGGGACGACTCAAGCATGGTTCTCAAAGGCGGTACAAGACGGTAGATAAGAAGTGCCGCCTGGAACCCGTCCTCGTTACAGAGGACGAGGAAGCATATTACGAGAGGGAACGAGGGTTGATTCGACGAATGAGGGAAAGTGCTTTAGCAGGGCCATGTCGTATCAACGAAGGGAACGAGAAAGAGTTGATCATAGGGGATTCTGATTTCCTGCTGCCTCAGGAGCGAACGTTAATGGTGGAATTAATGAAGAGGAAGCATCGCGCCTACGCGTTTCGTAACGAGGAGCGTGGCAGGCTAGACGTAGATAAGATACCTATGATCCGCATCCACACCGTGCCACACGAGCCTTGGAACATGAGAGGGGCGCGATATCCCAATCCTGACGAGGAAAGGAAGGTGGTGGATTATCTCGACGGCAAGATACGTACTCACGTCGCCGACTATTCAAGTGGACCGTATGCGTCCCCGTGGTTCTGCTTTATTAAGCCTAACGGAACGCCGCGGTGGGTGCAGGATTTGCAAAGATTGAATGCAGTGACCGTGCGAGATGCTGGAGGACTGCCGAATGCAGACGCGCTGTCGGAATCCTGTGCTATAAGGCCTATAATTTCGCTTATAGACCTTTACTCAGGATACGATCAGTTCCCAGTCTACCCGCCGGATAGGCCGGTGACAGCTATGCACATGCCGCGAGGATTAGTCCACATGAACGTGGCCCCACAAGGGTGGACCAACGCAGTAGCAATGGTCCAACAGACCATGATTCGGGCCATGCAGTCAGTCAGCCCCCGTATCACACAGCCATACATTGACGATTTGGCAGTGAAGGGGCCGGCGATGAAAGAGAGCAACGAAGTCTCACCAGGGGTAAGGCGCTTTGTCTGGAAACACATCCTGGACCTCGAAAAGGTCCTGAGCCTGCTCGAAGAGCATAACCTCACGGCAAGCGGGGCCAAATCCAGACACTGCATGAGGGAAGGGACTATCTTGGGGATCGTCTGCACTGAGAAGGGCCGAAGGCCGGATGTGAAGAAGTCGGACAAGATTACTGAGTGGCCAATTCCGTTCCACTCAATAACTGATGTCAGGAGCTTCCTTGGTACGTGTGGATTTTGGAGGGCCTTCGTCAAGAATTTTGCCGCTAAGACTGAACGCCTGAGGAAGTTAGTCCGTCAGGATCAGGAATGGGTATAGGGTGAGGAACAAGAAGAGGTGGTGGCAAAAATGAAAGAGGAATTCCGAGAAGGAGGGTTGGTGTTAGGAGCGCCAGATTATGACGCCACAGAGACGCGACCCTTCATTGTCGAAACGGATGCGGGACCGACTGCCTTAGGGGGAGTTCTAATACAGGCAGACATGGAAGGAAAGGAAAGACCCTTGCGATTTGAGAGTCGGACTCTCAGTACGACAGAGAGGAACTACTCTCAATTCAAGAGGGAGACCCTTGCTGTCCTCCACTGTCTGCGAATCTTTCGGAACTATGTCTTCGGCAGGAGATTTATTTTGAGAGTGGATCCGACCGCCCTGGCCCACTCTCTAAGGAATTACGTTCCATCGGATCCGACGATTGTCAGATGGCTGACGTACATCTGGATGTTCAATTTCGAATTAGAACGGATTCGTGGTAGTAAGAACTGGGCAGACGGTCTGAGTCGGATCAACTGGGATAAGCAGGAAGGGGAGGCGGTAGAGAATACGCCCCCAGCTGATGGATTTCTGAATCAGGAAGAAGATGTTCGCCTCCATATCAATAAGTGGTCGCCGCGAGTGCCCAGCTGTGTAGGCTATCCTATTTGGCAAGCGCCGAGCGGATATGAAAGGAGGACCGAGCTGGTCCTCAAACCCTTTAAAGAAGAGGATCCCAAGGGCGGTAAGGATGTTCAGTGAATGATGAAATTAGCGCTGGCCAGCTCGCATAGCCTGGTGGAGGATATGAGGACGATTGAGGAAGGACCTGGCCAGGTAGAACGGCATGAGGACCTGATGGGAGGAATGTATCTCCTCGTCAATACGTTATTGCAGGAAAGCCTAGACCAGTCAGGCTCGTTGAACCCGGCAGGGAATGTGGACGAAATACCCGAGAGCCAGGACGACGAGTTCGAGGAAGGGGAAATTAAGGAAGCTTTTCGTGCAGAGGAGTACGACGGGATCTACCTAGAGCTGGGGCTTCTTCTGTCATGTGAAATGCGGCTAAGAGATGTGAGCGATAGGGCTCAAAGGATGGTGCAACGCTACTTAGTGCGAGACGGTCACCTTTTCGTGAGAAGGGAAGTGGGAAATCCCAGGAGAGTCGTCTGCAGTAGGAATCGTCAGATCGACGTCGTAGCAGCGCTTCACGATGGTATTGCAGGAGGACATCGAGGGGTACAAGCCACATATGCCAAGATAAGTGAGTTGTACTACTGGGATGGGATGATGGATATGGTCGGAAAGTTCTGCCGATCTTGCGTACCTTGCCAAGAAAGATCTTGTTTAAAGCAAGGAGAGCCGCTGCATCCTAGGCTAGAGCGAGAGGTGGGGGTTGTAGTGCATCTCGATCTACTTTTTATGCCACTTGGGGATCAAGGCTATAACTATATCTTCGATGTGCGCGATAACTTGTCTGGGTTCGTAGACGGGCGTGCTATTCGCACAAAGACGGGGTCAGTCCTGGTGAGCTGCATCGAGGAGTACTACCTGCGTTATCCTTTCATCAGGGAATTCGTAATGGACAGGGGATCAGAGTTTACCTGCCAGGAGGTGCAAGAACTGTTATCAAGGTATGGTGTGGCAGCCAACTACACCACGGCTGCGCACCCCCAGGCAAATGCTCYCGTAGAGAGAGGACATAGTACCATTACGAATCTCCTGGCCAAATGGACCGAAGGTAGGCCTAATCAATGGCCAASATACCTAAGGGCGGCTTTCTTTGTCGATAACATTACAGTAAAGAGATCCACCAAGTACGCACCTGCGACGCTGTGGTACGAAAGGCTGCCACCTTCCCTATCGAAAGCTTTCTTAAGACATGGAGACGCCAGGATCTGAAAGTTAACCTGTCATTTGAAGAGTTGCTCGATATTCGGGCGCGGCAGGTTGGGGCGATAGAAGAAAGGATCCAGGAGGCATCTGACCAGGTGGCGAGAAGCCGTATGGATGATAAGGCTCGATGGGATCAGTCTGCGCGAGTGAGGAAAGTACCCTTGGCAGTCGGGGATGTCGTGCTTCTTTACGATACATCGCTAGAGAAGCAGTGGTCCAGGAAGCTTGATAAGAGATGGTTAGGTCCCTACCGAATCGCACGGGTCGGAGACTTCGGAGCGTACCAGATCGAGGAGTTAAATGGGACTGAGTGAAAGGATTGGGTATCTGGAACGCGACTGAAGAAATTTGTGGCGAGAGAAGAGGTAAGAGAGATGACCTGACCGCCTTTAGAATAGCAGTAACAGGGTGTGTAGATTAGGAAGGATGCATGCTGCATGAGTGTGGTCTGGTCTGAGCTTGCTCGATTATTACCTGTTTTGCTTAGCCCAATGCGTGCCTGTTGTCTCCTTCGCCTGTTGTGCAAGTCCGACTTTACGAAGACAGCCATGCCAAGAGGAGGGAGGGGGACACGGCCGCCTCAGAGGCCGTTGGGAGCATCAGGAGGATATGAGCGACATGGACCTCGCCATCGAGAGAGTACTTCAGTATACGATGATGGGGACATCGAGCTATTCCTGGACATCTTTTGGGATTATGCGAGGCGTATGGGCTGGACCATGGCTCAGGCGATTGAGAAATTGAGGGGAGCAGGCAGATTTGAGGAGCCCATCGCGCGGATCCGTAGAGAGGCAACGACGATATCAGAGGTGGAGTGGAAGATACAGGAGTTGCGACCCTCGCCTGTGGGGCCTGATGGCAGGCCGATCCGCCTGGAGATTGGAAATGCGTCGGACTTCATCCCTGCTTTCTAGTGGTTCATGCAGGGGCAGGGTATACCGAGAGATGAGTGGACGAGGACGTTACCCCTCTGGACCAGAAAGGCGGAAAGGCCGCTGGCTAGCCAAATCAGGGACATGGGCCGAGACTGGGAGAGCTGCAGGGCGCATCTGAGAGAGGCCTTTCGACGGCCAGAGTCCCCTCAGCCCAGAGTCGAGAGGCGGCAGAGGAGTCAGAGGCCGAGGGACCCTGAGCCCAGGGAGGCGAGACCATCTCGAGGAGGACGGAAGGCCCTAACCAGGAGAGAACAGGAGCCAGAGGATGAGGAGTGAGGGGCATACCCTGAGTGTGGGTTGGGGCCAATGGAGTTCCATCGTTTTACTGAGGGTGGATTGAGGAGGTCGCCAGCACACACACAGGGGGAGCCACCAGCGTAAGAGGGGCCCTTGAGGGAATTGGAGATGCATTTAGATATTTCTCGGTGGAGGGCGTCGCTTCAGGGTGAGGGGCATGGAGAGCAGGCAGAGGAGGTGTCACGAGAGGAGGTGCCACGAGAGGAGGCGCCACAGGGGGAGATACCACGAGAGGAGATGCCACGGGAGGAGGTACCACAGGAAGAGGTCCGGGGTACTCAGCGAGAGAGAGGGTTGGGCGATGAGGGGAGACGTGCAGGGAAGGAAGTGATAGAGGTTGGAGAGGACACGCCCCCACAGGCGCCAGCAATGGATTTGAGACTCGGGGATGCACCAGGTAGCGTTTGTCAAGCAGAGGAGAGATTGCGGAAAGAGGAGGCCCTACTTCCTTCATCAGAGAGGGCTCCATCGCCAGAGGGGAGAGCCGGCAGGAGGAGAGAAAGGGCAGCTGTAAGAAGGGAAGCCTTAACCCTGATTGATAGGCACCTAGCAGCTTATGCCCTGGAGCATCCAGACCTGGAGGAGCCAGCACCTGCTGAGCCGCGCCGAGAGCCGTACCAACCCGAGAAGGAGATGGAAGCAGAGATCCCAAAGAGGGTCGACCTCCGCACGAGGGAAAGGGTGCCAGCTGGAGAGACGGCTGAAGAAAAGAGGGCGAGACGAACCAGGCGGATAGATGAGATATGGCAGGAGAGGCAGAGGTTGGAGGCAGCGGGGGAGCTCCCGGAGCAGCAGCAGGAGAGGCAGAGATCGGAGGCAGCAGGAGCACTCCCGGGTCAGCCACCCAGCGCGCCAGCCAAGGCCCCGGAGATTCCTGA